ATATCCCTCACTGCGACGTTCATACTTGGGATCAGACTCGTCGGTGTACCCCACATCGCGGCGTTCGTATTTGGGGTCGGACTCGTCGGTGTACCCCTCGTCGCGGCGTTCGTACTTGGGATCAGACTCGTCGGTGTATGCGCCGGCTGGGACGGGAAGCATGTCAGCGAGGAACGCGAATGCGAACAGAGCGACAAGACAGAAGACGGACCGTGGCGACCGTAATTGGCATCTGTGTGATATGAAGGTAGAACTGTATGAGCAACGTGTGCAAAGAGGTTGGAGGGAGGTGCTCAAATGCTCACCGATGCCGTCGGCTAAGAGGTCTTTCTCGTATGCGGAGGAGCGGGAGTCTACGAAGATTGTATGGTTAGTGACAAGATATGGGGGAGAGTGTATGACTGACGCGCAGTGGGGATGGCGAGAGCGACGAGGGGTAGGAGAGCAGTAAAGACGAGAGAGAGACGCATGATGGGTGAGAAGGTAGGATCCGAGGGGATGCTGGGGGGATTGGGGGGCGAGAGCGAGGGCTTTTATATGTCGAGGGACCAGGCGCAGACACTCACTGACCGATGGGTGCCGCTGCGTGGTACTCCATCGTCCCTCGCGAGGACATCACCAAAATCCGCAGAACAATATCCACAAAAGTGGTAATTGTCAGCCTATTATAATCCTGGTGTGAATATGTCTGAATGGAAAGGCACAGGTATACGGCCCATTGTGGTCTCCAGTAAATCCCAACTCGGCCCAAACCTGAGCTTGTCTGCTTAGATAACGCACCGTGTCGGATCATCTGATGATTGTACGGTATTATATTGTTTTGTGCATTTTGCTGATGGAGGTGCATCGGCACTTGGTCGTGACTTGGAAGAGACTCAAGAGTCGAGAATGTCTCCGATCTCGAGCCGTGACCGGCGCGTGCATCCCATCAGTCCGTGCCACTGGATCAGAGAGAAGCCCGAGGTCTCGGCGCCAGCCACTCTAACGCTTCTTCAATATATTAGAATCGGGTGTATACTGGTCCATTCAAAGATGCTGATCGCGGAGCGCGGGCACATTGCGTTATCTGCGCCTGCACGACAAATGTCCTCTTCTTCAGCTCGGGGTCAGTCCATCCAGCAGCCCACCCTCGCAGCATGTCTCCCCCGTCTGAACGGTATTCCCCCATCGCCCAAGACGATCCCCATGGCTCCTCCGAGAAACTCCTCACCCAGCATGCAGGCGTGGAAGTGGTCGACAACGACGTCTGCCCGTGCAGCCGCCATCGCACTTCAGCCTGGCGTCGCTCCTGGCTCTGGCTGCTCGTCGCCTTCCTACTCTTTCTCAACATTGCCGGTCTCGTCACCTTCCTCCTTCGCCCCAGATGCACCAATGGAGATGACCTCCTCAACGCCCACTGTACATCCTCCTGTTCGTTCATATATCCTCGCTGACCCGCCTCTCCAGCTCCCGTATATCCCGCCATTGAATACAACGTCGCCCACTTCAATGGCACCATCGGATTCCGCTCCCCGTACGTAGGCATCGGCCCCG